GGGTTTCACTGAGAGCTAGAATACATTTTGACATTAAAAAAAAAAAAAAAAAAAAAAAAGTTATAGTATTTTTAATAAAGCCTAATGTATAAAAATATGCTTATGGCATTTAGATATTGGGCAGAGTCAGTTTGGGCCTGCAGCCCTTGCCCTCTGAAGGGTATTTTCCCACTGCCATTAGGATCACAGGCAGTAACTCTCTCTTGCTTCTGACTCTTTATTCATTCCTTCAGAGGATGCTAGCTAAATAGAAGATAAGTAAATACGTAATCAATGAGACATTTATTGAATGTTAATGCTTTGTTTATTAGGGCTTAGAAATTTAAATAAGTCCCATTAAGATGTAGAGTGCACAGCAGTGAATCTTCTCAATGTCACAGACCCCAATCACAGAATAATGGTGAGCCGGGGCTTTCCAAATGGGAACTGCTTTGTGGCTGAGGTGCTGGGCTTCTTCTGTTTGCTGCCTCTCACCCCGCAGCAGCAGGCTGCACACAAGGACATCTCCACTGCAGGACCAGCCATGCAGGGCTCACCGCAGCTGCCCTGACCCAAGCTGACTGGTCCTCTTGAGTCTGAGCTCAGGGAAGCCATGCAGGCACAGTGGAATTTCTGCACTAGTAACCTGAAACAGAGCTTCTGAGCTCAAGTCTGGCTGTTGCAGCTGGATTATATCCGGGCTCAGCTGGCTCACCTCCAGTTTGGCTGTCCTTCCTTGTGTCAAGGTAGACCCTATTTAGTTTCTTCAGTGAAGACTGAGAACATCAGTCACTAAAGTAACAGCTGGAATGTGCAGAAGCATTATCACAATAGGAATTGCAGCCACTGTCAGCATTGCTGGTGGAGATGTCTGCAAGGAGGGGTGGAAATCCCATCATTCGAGCCACATGAAACCACACAAGCAAAATATGGAGGAGGAAGAGTCCCCACAGGAGAGAGCCTCAGCACGGCCTGATGCCAACAAGCAAACTGTCACCTGAGAAGGGCCCACAGCTCTCCTCAGAAGGACTCCATCCCCACACAGGGCTGGAGGCCACGTCCTTTGCTGCACACTGTGAGCTCAGTGGGCCCTTATGCATGCCTGAGTGATGAGGGCCAGGCTAGGAAGGCCCTGACGGGCGAGTGCAGGCCCCGGTGGATGAAGTGCAGACTGCCTGAGGTGTCAGCATGGACAGGATAAGCTGGCTCTGCCGGCTGTGTGGCACAGAGGTGTGAGGGCCAGGAGCTGGGCCTGCAGCTTGGCGTGCTGCTGGCTGCTCACCCGCACGGCTGGGGTTGTTACCTTACAGCTAATTACAGTGCTTTCACCAGCCCTGCAAACGCTGCACGTTTTTAGGACTTGCTGAAAAGTTTAAGATGTGTCCTGGGTGTGTGTTTGCAGTAGACGCTACGTTTTACGAGCATTTTTTTCCTTCCTGTAACTGTAGTAACTCTACCTTTAGCCTGGCCTCGTTTTTCTAGTCAAGTCTGGTCCATCCCAGTCTAACTGGGCCCTTCACAGGGCCTACGTGCCTGCAGAAAGCATTAAAGGCAGAAGGATATTTTTAACGGTAAGTGTAATTAACCCCTCACCCAGCTTACCAGAAGATGATGGAGTCTCTTTTTAAAGATGGTATCTTTTGAAATGATGCACATTTCTTTATGGGTCTGCAGGATGGGGGTGAGGAAGAGAGAATGGCTACGGGCTGTGTTCCAGGTGCTCTGACCTTCTCTTTTCCATAAAGACACCGCTTTGGGGTCTGCCCTCTCTCTTGTGTTACACTGCATCAAGGCAACTGCCTGGAATAACTATGCAAGCAGCACTGAGCAATGTTCTTCTCCTGTGTATTTTGGCAGCCAGGAGGAGAATAGATTTGCTATCAATATATATGACATGAAAATTGCAGGCAATAGGATCTAACCCTTCAGGAAGCCCTGTCTGAGAGCAGGGGCACATACCCACTGCATTATTTATCCTCTCACGTGGTGATTACATAAATTGCCTCAGCAATTTCACTGGAAAAGGTTCCTTGAACCTCTTTACTTCCCACCCTGAAAAAAATGTGTTTTATGCAATGGACACAGATGGCTCCAGAAGGGATGTATGCAGGGAGGGCAGGGAGCCTCGGATGCTGCATTAATACCAACTTCTCTCTGCCTTTGCAGCTCACCTTTAGCAGGGATAAGAGCAAATTCCCTGGTGGATCGAGCACCATCAAGCACCTGACAAGTCTTATGAACACTTTCAAGAGCCAGGCTTGAGAGCTTGAGCACTTACTCATTTATTGCTTTGATATTAAAAACAGAGTCACAGATATTAAAACAGAGAGACTCTGAGTACAGGGGAGATATGATCTGTTCTGTATACGGAAATTGCTCAGCTTCATGTTCTACATGGCGCTACAGATTACAAAAAAGACCTACAGAGTCCCATTTGTCAGGGAGCTTTTCTGAGGGACCAAAAGCAGAATATAAGCAATAGAAAAGCTTCCAGGTTTCCCAGTTCCAGCTTGCAACTCTTGCAAAAATCAGCCCCACACCTAAAGTGTGAGGTCCCTAATACTCCTCTCTGCTGTGACATTCAGAGCCACCTGATTTTCTTCAGCCATGCAGTCATAACAGCCATCTGCAAATCCCACCCTGCAATTGCTGGAGTTCCTCACCAGAGGGATACTTCTAAACTGAAAAGTGTAAATCCATTGTGATGGTTGGGCGCACACACACAGACTACAGTGATGATACCTTTGTACAACACACTCCTTGAATGGAAACAGTATACAGTGATGCTAAGCACATAACTTTGCACAGTAAGCTTTTGCCAGTGTAACTTACCGAAAATTCAACTGTTCCCCAGGAGGAACAAGCTGCATTGCCAGTGGCATTGTTTTGCTGGTAACTGTGCATCTGCACTGGAGAATTTTGCAGGCAGTTCCCCCCCATCCAGGCAGCCAGAACAGCTCCCTGGCTATAGGAAGGAATGATGAGACAGCATTGGGCAGTCATGCTCAGCCCAGCCTGCAGCAGCAAAGCAGTACTACACGTCTGCTGGTGCAGGTCAGTGCAACATGAAAAGATCCTGAAAACCACATTTTCACAAATCCAATGGATGAAAACACAAAGGAATTGCAGAGGGACATGGAACATACAGTACTGAGGAAGTAAGGGCATTGCTTCCCACAGCCCATCCACAGCTGTTTTCATCTTCCTAGAGCAAGCTCAATTCCACACCTATCCCAAGAGCAATTGGAGGCTGTTCCTTTAAAAAGAAAAAGAAAAAAAGAAAAAAAAAGAAAAAGAAAAAGAAAAAAAAAAACCAACCAACCAA